GCCACCGCCACCGCCAGAGCCCGGCGCGGCTGCTCAGCAGATGGTGCTGTTGCTTCAGCGAGAGCCACCGCAGCGGTCCTGTCAGCAGCCTGAACCCAGCACCCAGCCCCTCCGCCGGGGACTTCGGCTTGGTGTTTTTCCTGTCATCTATGGATCTGTCAGAAAATGTCCTTTCTTCCAGGCCTGCGGTTCTTAATTTAAAGGAAAAAGCATTTTGCCCAGAGATCTGGACCTGCATGCTGCTCCAGAGAAGTCTTCAGATCCTTCTGTCAGCTCGGGGACAAGTTATCACATCTGAAGCTGGATCCAAGAACTTTAAGTTTCTAAGGGTTTCCTGGAGGCTTAAGAAATGCAGAATCCATGTCCCTAGCTATTTGCATTGCCACGTGCATCTTTCAAGCCAGTTGCCAACCCTCGCCTTCTCCTTGGGCAGAGAGATGGCCAAACCAGGATTTCGTTGCCTTGATTTTTTCCCACCATCTTTTTTTTTTTTTTTGGCAGGAGCAAATGTGAACATAAAAACAAACAACCAAGACGAGGAGACTCCTCTGCACATCGCTGCGCGCTTGGGTATCCCGGAGCTGGTGGCCTTTTACGTGGAACAAGGAGCGCAGGTTGATGCTCTCAATGCCTACATGGAGACTCCCCTGGCCTGTGCAGCCTATTGGGCCCTGCACTATAAGGATCAGATATACAGCCCCGATCACCACCTCATCTGTCGGATGCTCTTAGACTATAAAGCTGAAGTGAACGCTCGTGATGAAGATTTCAAATCTCCGCTCCACAAAGCTGCCTGGAACTGTGATCACGTCCTGCTCCATATGCTGCTGGAGGCAGGAGCAGAAGCAAACATCATGGATGTCAATGGCTGTGCACCACTACAGTATATCATAAAAGTGACATCTGTGAGGCCAGCTGCCCAGCCTGACATCTGCTACCAGCTGCTACTGAATCATGGAGCAGCTAGGATATATCCTCTGCAATTCCACAAGGTTAAGGATGGCTTTGTACAGTAAGGATATGGAGAGAGGTAGTGTCTTGAACAGGAATAGGATGAGATATTAAAACTTCAGGGTTTGGTGGTATCTGGATTTGCTGGAGTCTTGGTCCCAGAATGCCCAAAACCTTGTAAGCAGACCTGCTATAAGAGTGGTATCATTTGACTGAAGTGAAATTACAGTTGCCAATGCCAGAAACCAGACTCAGATCCCATTTTTCTTCTTAACTAACCTGAAACCCCAAACTGTAAATGATGCTTCGAGCTTAATTTTTCAGAGCTGAAGCACTTTCTCATTTCAGAAAACCTAGCCTTTGTCAAACCTGGCTCCATACAGGCTTAACTGGGTTATCCAAAATGCATATTTCACGGTCTCTACCAAAGATTGGAGATCAGACCCATCGATTCAATTTGTCACTTCTGACCTTTAAAAATCTATTAAAATATATTAAAAAATGAAATGGATCTCAATAAAGCTTTGGCTCATTCCCAGGAAATGTGAGGAATTAAGGGGAGATGCTGGGCCTTGGCTCATAGTTAATGAAAAAAAAACAAAAAAAGAAAAAAGTATTGCAGGATCCCTCCCAAAGAATTTCTAAACCTCTGCCAAGCCCAAGGCACTGACAGAAGTATCTGACAGACTTCTTATATCACACAACTAAGTAGGCTCGCTGTAGACAGAACTCATTCTCTCTCATCCTGTGCCCTGAGAAACATTTTGCAGCTTCTCTACTGTATATATAAAATTTCAACAAATCAGGCAACCAGAAGTCTTTAAATAAAATGCCAAAACTTTTGGTTGTACCTTCTTGAGCCCAGGATGAGCTGGTCCTGTCTTTAACAAAATAATACTTAGTTTCCTAGAGAGCATTTGAGAGACAAGTCTGGGGTCTCCTCTTCCTGCCTCTGCCTTTCTCCTGTTGCATGGAGCTGGTCTTCCTTCCAAACCATCATTTGCCCTCTGTAAAATATGTAGGATGATATTTATTCCAGAGGAATGTTCTGCAGTTTTGTTTGTGAGAGCCTGTCTACTGTGTGGGACAAAGTTGTGTGCTGTATGCTGTGAACGCAATGTACTATTCCCTGAGTGTGAGTGACAATAGACTTTGGGTTTTTTTCCTACTGAACTAAAGTTACTGGGCAGAGCAGTCATTTCAGGGGCCTCATGTGGCCTGAAAGCCTTACTTCTGAGTTATGTTATCTCCTAGTCTTCCTTTAAATTTTCCTGTAAAAATGCATTTTTGATTCATATGATGGGATTTTTTTGGTTCCTGTGCTGCATGACCTGGAGCAAGGACTTTGTGCATGGCTTTGCCTGGCATCAAGACACTCAACCTAGCTATGAACACGTTATTTCCAGATTCAGATGATAAAGCTACCCCCATCAGCAAGCTACACTGCTCTGGAGATCTAAGCCTCTTGCAGTTCTTTGGCTGTGTCTGTCTCTGTGCAAGCATCCAGGCTAGCCCCAGCTTCCTGGTGGTCCTCATGGTCTCTATGCATCCTGCCTGCAGGTGCTACAAGCCTGCCATTCCCACCCCAGAGCTGTGGAGGTTGTTGTCAATACCTATGAACACATCAAATCAACATCGAAGTGGAAAGCAGCCATACCTGATGATGTCTTTGAGGTAAGCTCTTAAGGAGTTGCAACTGAGTAAAATCCAAGCTCATTATTTGCATTCTCTATATCTGGCCAAAGAAAAGTGGCGCTGCTTTTGAAAGAGAAGAACATCTCAGAGGATTTGGAACTTCTTCATTTAATATCACTCACTTGACAAAAGCTTAACTCTCACTGAGGAAAGACATATATTTGAGAAATTTTCATTGCAACATTATCCTTTGGAGCCCCCCCCACCAGGGATGCTGCAGGAGCTCAGCTGTCCCTGCACTCAGCAAGTGCAAAGATTCTGGCTGTGGCTGGTGTCTCTTCAGATCTGTCAATGCGTATATTTGTATTTTTTTAAGTCAGCAAATGTTTTTGAAGTACTGTGTTACCTGTGAAGGACTATATATCTTTAGGTTCTGTTGCATAGCTTAGGTTTCTGCGAGTGGGACTTATTAGCTGCAAATACATGGGAGTATTTAAATGAAAAATAAGAGATCAAAGAAGGAAGAGATGTTGTCAAAAGGCAAAATTGTGGGGCAAACTACACACTTGGACATAACTATCCCTTTTCTCCAGAAATCCTCATAGTCCCAACCCAATATTCCAGTTTAAATCTAGTTTCTTATTAATTCTGTGTTTTTTCAGAATTTTCAAATCAGTGATGAAGTGCACTAATATCTGCTATACATTCAAGGAACCTTATCTGTAGTATAATGCAGAGTTATACAGCCAGAGGAACTGTGAGACTAACTGTTTTTTCAGGTCAGCTTTGTTCAGAAAAAAATTTAAAGAAACCCTTTTGGGTGAACACAAAATTAAAAGTTAAAGTTCCTTTTTCACCTAAATACAATAATAATAACAACGACAGTAATAAAAATAAGAATAATAGAAGCTTCGCTGAGCTACAGATGTGACTAGAAAGGAAATAACTAGTTCTCTTTCCCCAAAAAACCACTTTAATCTGAAATTGAAACATTCATATTTGGAAAAGTCTGCAGTTGCTCTATTTCTTCATTGAGACTGTCATTTTTTTTTGTCAAAACTGTTTGCCAAATTTGTCAGGAAATTTCAGAAAAAATTTTGTTGACACAAATATGTATTTTTCAATACATAAAGTGTATCTGGAAAAAAGTGAAACCAAATCTGTCAAGTAGCAAGAATACAAAGTAAGGTCAAGTCATGTGTAGTCACACATATTTACTGATCGCTTCTTTTATTTGAACACCATTTGCAAGCATCTGCACTTTTCTTCTGGTGGGAATGCAAATTTTTTTATTCTAAAAGGCCACTGGGGCAATGAGCAAGACCAAAGGTACTTTGCTGTGGGCAGCCCTGGCGACCCCAGGGGTAGCACGGGCGTTGTGCTGCCCCACTGTGAGGTTCAGGGAATTAACTTGTCCACATGCACTGCCCCTGAGCTGGCTGCAGCCTCTGTTCAGATCAGCACTAACACCACAGAGGAACTCCTGCCTCAAACTGAATGTAAAATGTAACTAGCCTAAAGATTTCAGCAATGGTCTTTGTCTTAACACTAAATATTTGAGGCAAGCATAAGAATTTTGTGCAGGCATTTGGCTAAACCAAGTCCCTGGTGCTTGATGTGCCGCCAAGGGACGGGGTGGCTGTCTGTGCTTTTTAACTTGTTCTGCTAAGGGCTGCATGTGGGCAGGGGAAAGGGAGGAAAGGAAAACAGCCTTATTGCCCTAAAACACACTTATGGTTTTTTACAGCGGCACCAGGATTTCTATGACTCTTTGTTCACTGTGTGCAGCAATTCACCACGGTCGCTCATGCATTTGTGCAGATGTGCTATTCGGGCGATATTGTCCGAAAGGTGCCACCAAGGAGTCCCCTTGCTCTCCATCCCCCCATCCATGAAGAAGTACTTGCTTCTGGAACCAGAAGGAATAATCTACTGAGCCACACCAGCGCCTCCACTCCTGGATCTGTGCGCCTCTGCGGGGTGCTGGAGATCCAGGCACAACTGAAGCTGGGCCGGGATTTACTGGCTCTCCTCCAAGCCGCTGCCCTTCCCCGCACTAAGGAGCTGCAGCTGCAGGCTGTGTGTTGCACAGGGGGAGGCAGAGCTGGAAAGGCCCCCCCTCCAAACAAACACAGGGTGCATACCTCCATGCCTTGTTCGGCCTAGCTTAAACGATGCTTCTGCTGCCTTTGGTACTTATTCCACTGCCTGCTAGATAGCATTAGATTCAGTCTGAGGAACCTTTGATACTGTTTCATTGTAATTTTCTTCAGCTGTCATTTTGGGAGTAAAAGAAAGAATACCATCAAAAAATACAACATTTATTAGCATCACAGAAATTCTTTCCCAGAAACAAATGGGCAAACTGCTTTGAATCATGACCACAGACAGAATTTGTGTAGTTTCCATATTTTCCTGTGGATTGACTCTCAATTCAATGTTAGTTCATGGTTCACTACACCTGTCTGTATCTTATAAAGCTTTGACATAATAATAACCTTTTTGATTGTAAGAATTTTTTCCTTTATCAGTCACAATATTGAGATCTGCAGCACTGGTATTTCTGTATGTTGCTATTCATGCCCAGGTATCTTTTAGCAGATACTGTCTCTGTTTCTGCTCTCACTGTGACTGATGATAATTTCATGTTCTGGTGTTGAGTAATGCAGGTAGAATGAAATTGCCCCTGTAACCTGCACAGCTGGGTGTATACCCACCCATATATCCCTCAGGATGGTGTTGGACGGGGTCTGGGAAGACTATGGACTCTTCTTTTCATTGACTACAAAAGGAACCTAGCCCACTAACATGGACTATACATCTCATTTTTTGGCGGCTAAGTGCAGGTGAGATGAATCCCACCTTAACTGAAAGGTGTTTCCAAGCTGCAGATGTGTTGGCTGTGCTCTTACAGACCTGCCCGCCCCCCTGACTTGCAGGCCCTGTGCTTTCGGACCTGCCAGTGCTGGTTTCCCTGCTCACAGGAAACCTTTACACCTGACCAACCTGCTGTCTCCAGTTCAGGAGGATGAAATGCAGGGCAGAGGCATGATCCTGCAGCAAGGGCAGCCGTGTGATCTGACCTACAGATAAAACCGATTTTTCTTCCCTTTTTTAGTTCCATGCAATCCATCTGGGCTCTTTCAGTTTTTTCAGACCCCGACAATTCTGGGCTTTGTTAAAAGGGAGGTGAGCCGTGTCCACCACTGGGAGCCGGTAACTCCTGACTTCTCATTGCATCTCTGACCGTGAAGCTGTCCATCCTTATCATTATTATTATCTCTTTGCAAGAGAGCCCACAGCACTTTTGGCTCTTCCCAGCCAGACAGGAGTGGCCAAGCTGTTCAGTGTCGCTGCGTCTCACAAAGTGGCAATAACAGCACTTGAAGAAACGTGTAGATTATTTAGTGTTATAAATCTCTTCTTTTTTTTTTTATCTCAGTTTTCATGAATCAAAGCTTGTACAGTGTGTTAGGAGAGAATCCAATTAATGGGTCTGTTTATGTTTAGCTAGACAGCAAAGTAAATTGCTATTTAACAGTTTCCAGTTCCAATGGAGAATTTCAAAGACAACACAGACCATGAGAAAATGTTTTCTCATACGCATGAAGTTGTAATATAGGTTCATGTACTTTACTAAACTGAAGAAAGATTTCTACAGAGTTGCAGAGTTATCTCTGTCAGAGACACTACAGTTGTTTGCAGGGAGAACTATCAGGATCTGGCACAGTTTGTCTGTAGAAAAGTCACCTGAGGCAGTTCCAGCTCAATGGGATCCACTGAAATCTGCACTGAGGAAAAACAGTGAATTTGGAAGGAGGGATAAAGCTTAGTTTATCTAAAACCAATGCTTTTCTAGACAATGTATCTATGTAAGCCAGGCATGAGGAAGAGGATTGGCAAACTGGTCAAGGCAAGAAAATGGTTGTTGCTTTCTGAACAGTCTGACAATGGGGCAAGCTGGGAAATCCAGAAGAGACAGATGGAGGTAGCTGATTTTATGGGGAACACATCCCTGTGCTGGCTGCTTCTGAAAGCAAAATTCTGTGTCTGGAGGAGGGAGGTTTAAGGCAGAACAATAGCAGTGGTTTTTGACCTGTTGTAGTCAGGCCTCTCTTGCTGAGAGAGAAGAAAAAAGGCTGTCACCAGTGTTCCTAAATTCCCTCTGATCCTCCCCCTCTGCAGTGAACACACTTAATTTTTATTCTGTGGGCGCCCAGCCTCACTTCCAAGCTTTGTACCAAGCAGGTGCCAGATTATAACCATTGTGGTATCTGACAGGGAGCACAGTGGGATCAGGCTGATTATAGTCATAGGAATTTGCAAGCTGTTAAAAACACTGGAGAACATCCCTACCACAGAAAAAAGACCTGATTGATGTACTTTAATTGCTTCTGTTATTGGAGTTAGAAAGACCAACAGTAAGCACACCTTATTATTTGTTACCTTTTAGCATTTCTTTCTTTTTTTCTCTTACTGTACTCTATTCCCATGCACTGGATGGAATTGCTAATGTAAGGCATGGGGGTACCTGATAATAAGCTCAGCATTTATTAAATTTATGGGATGTACAGTCTTATTATTCTGACTTAGTACAGATGCCTTGAAATTTCATATTGTCATATAAATTCTGATCATGCTTTTGTATTTTCAAAACTGCAACAGATTGGATGGATGCAGGTGGAAATGATGAGACACCAACTTGTCACCCCTACACTGCAAGTTTGAACCATGACCTAGTCCTGACCTAAAAGAAAGTTGTTTTCAGGGTTGTTTGGTGTCTTCTGTAAAACGAGTTGCTTTGTGCCATTTGGCTTCTTAGTAGGGATGCAGCCATGTTTAAGACATTTCCACTGCATTTCACAGCTTATTAGAATGTTTAAAGCACAGATGGGCACAAAGAATGAACTATCTTTTCCCATTGGCAGCCCTTTCCCACATTCCCTTAATGACTTCTCAGTGCATAGCAACGAGATTACATGTTTTGGTCCTTGTGCTTTTTAAGAGGTGTCTATGAAGAGATGTTCTTAAACCACATGCATTGCTGACAAAAGAAATTATCCCTTCTATGAACATAGAGACACCCTGTGTGTTTTTGTATGCCAGTGCAGAGTCGTAATTCAGCTGTTCATGGAAAAACCATCATCTTCTTTGTAAAGTACTCTTGCAATGATTTTAAACGCAGCCCCTGATGTCTAATTGAATCCATCTTGACTCAAAACATCATTGATTTCTCCATGGAGAGAGCATATAGGTGAAACTGAAGTCAGAGTAAATCTAACAGTGTTCAGGAATGTATTTCCCTCCAAAACCCTTAAGCATCTGTTCATATTTGGTCAACCTTTAGTTGGAAGGACAATTATGTCAAAACAGAGTGACTGGGTCAGTTCTCCAACACTGCTGCTTGTCCTGTTGGCCTAATGCCAAGAAGAGGAGCCAGAGACTGCAAAGCAGAAACTCAGGACTTCGGAAGTGGAAGCAGTAAATCTTGACCAGTTCCTGCTCAGCCTCCATCCAACATGTCCTTAAAACCTTCATCAATCGTCCTTGAGACAGGCTAGTTTTCAGGTGCTGCTGGTGGCAGGAGGGGAAGGGTACATCCTCAGCTGCATTCTACAGTGTGCAGTGGTGTCAAGACCATATTGGTTGCACAAGGCTCAGAAATGTGATAAGTACATCTTTTCTCCACAGAAGTGGCTTTGGATGAGTATTGACAACGGTCTGCATACAGACTCGTCCTAGAGTGTGATACATGTTTTGTTAATGTGCTCATTACTAGTACTTTAGGATTGTACTCAACGGTCAGTGTCACACACCTCTACTCCAAAAACAAGCTACCTGATGAGAGTCTATTTCTTGGCCAAATGGCAGCAATACTCAGCCTCAAGACTTTCAGCACAAGGGGTGCTGGTTCCACATCCCTCACATCTTTCATAATGACTGCACTAAGAAGAGTTTGCATTAGAAAGAAGCCCAGAAAATAAATATGGGACCTTGGGGCCACCTAGCACAGGCAGCCAAGATGCCCATGTCTTTTTACCCTTGGCATTTGAAAAGTTAGCAGGGGAAGGGGGTAGGTTGCCTGCACCTCTTTTCATGCTTTTACATGGGGGCTGCATGGAGGATGACGAGACTGTCTGTATCATCTTGAAAAGTTTTGGACCAAAACTCCTGACTACACAGAAACAGAATGGTGTTGAAATGTCCATTTAAATTCTGTCAGCTCTGCATGGGTTTGTGTGTGCATTGGCACGTATGTGCATGGGCATCTGTGAGGAGACGTGCAGAGAGATTCCAGTCAAAATCTTTGCTCTAGTTTAAATGATGTTTTTTTAACCCAAATCAAGGTATCCGGTCTGGAACCAATAAATTGCTATGTTTTGGCATCAATAAAATTTTACTTATTCAAAACCACTTAACCATTTTGAAAGATCGTTTCCCTTCTTTCCATTGGGCAATATCTTGCAGCCTATACATCAGTTTTGACAGAACCAAGTTAACTGCTGTGATCATGATTTTATATAAATCTCCCAGAATGACCAAGACTGACAACTATTTTCGTAAAATGTTAGAAACACAAATATTAGGGGGCAGGAGAAAAGGTCTGGTCTGCCCTGAAATGTGGAAGCTTTACTTCTAGCTGCAAGCACTGCTGGACCAATTACAATGATCACAGCAGCTTGGCTCATTCGTATTTGAGGAATGTCCTTTGAAAATGTGTTAATGCTTTCGGCAGCAGATTTTGCTCATGGAACAGCTACCTTTAAATTAAACATACAAGAGTTCAGTCTTTTAAGATTGGAAAGAAGATTGAAACAGTCTGGGGTGGCCTACACTATTATATACCTTTATTAAACTCTGAGAAGTCAAAGAGGCATGCCGACTTTTCAGTGTGCTGGAAGGTTTGCAAGGCTCTTGAAGGGCTGCTGCTGCTTT